GAAAGAGAGCAACAGCGGCGCTTTTCCGTGCTCGCTTCGAAATAAACCGGGAATCGGACTACAGCCGTGGTTGTTCTGATCGGAAATATTTCCCCCAGTATGTTTTTAAATGCAGGGGGCGTGCAGACCGAATTCAGGGTGTACAGGAAACAACACAGTTCTGCAACACGGCAACCTCTTTGTAAGCAAATACAACGGGCCAGAGCCCGACAAGCGAACAAGTCACAGCGACTCTCTTGGACGCAGCAGCGTGCTGCGACGCCACCTGGCGGTCGAGTCGGCTCTTTGCAGTGTTTCTGCCAGGGCTGGAAACAGAACAAATTCAATACCCGCACAAAATAACTCGAAACCAACCACAAATTCAGGTCACGACAAGAGCTTTTTTTTTTTTGGCTAATAAAATACCACCCATGCATGTGAGTTATTTCTCTAAAAATGTCATATCCAGCCCAAAAGTAAGCTTTGTAAATGATCGCTTTTCATTAAATATATAACGATGTAAAACCGCACAGAATATTTTTAGACATGATAGGAAACTGCACAGCGGTTTTATTTCGGATAGCAAATGCAAGCTGCTTCGTTATAAGAACTCTTCTGCCACCTACTGATTTAAAAGTGTTTTTTTTTATTATCTCGGCTTGGCAGGATCTGAAACTAGTAAAAAAACAAGATAATGTATTACTACACATTGCTCGTATATATTGCAGAACATCCGGCCCAGCGCTGTGTGAAAACTGAAAACTTTCTACTTGTCTCTCAGATTTGGTAAAGGAATAGGATGCATTTGTGTTTTTTGTTAAAATGTCGAGTTCATTCCGTCAAAAAAAACTTTTTTGATCAAGAGATTCTTTAAATCGAGTGAAAGAGGAACATGATTTCGTGTCAAGGTGAATATTTTGTTATTTTTGCTTACCCACATAGTGAATGCATGCAAGAAAAGAACCTAAAATGTCAACAGATGGCGCTGCAAATGCGACAAAGTGATTTCTGGACCCAACTTTTCGGCGACCATACGATAGGACTGTTCTGTAACCTCAAACAGCTCGTGTAAAATCGGCAGGAGCAGTCCCTTGAGCCCACGGATCTCTAGGATAAAGCAAGCGATCGTTTGTTTAGAGTGCACGCCTTTTGTTTTTTTGTTTTTCCCCCCTTCCGAAACGACAAAAGTTTTCCGCAACACAGAAAACCACGGCGCGCGACCAATCCCTGCCCCGCAGCCCTCGTGCCTGCCCACACGCACGCGCCGCGCTGCCCCGGGGGGGCCCGTGGGCCGGAGCCCCCCCTCCGACACCCTCGTGAAGTGGTTCTGCTCCGTGACGCGAGGAGGTGAGCGGCTGGAGCCCCGAGCTGTCCTGCGTGTGGTGCCCCTGCCCGGCCAGTGCGCTGGGAGCTCTCATGCTGCAGCAGTACTCCACTCAGACGTAGGTGGCGGAGGATCACAGCACGTCCCCTGCTCGGCCGGCCGTGTGGGTCGCCCAGAGTTGGATCGGTGGCTGGCAGCGGTGAACGACAGA